TGATTAAGGGGGAAACAAGAGGAGAATAATAGAGACAAGCATTACTATTTCCCAAGAGATTTCTAGTAGTAAGCGCTGAAAGCATTTTCCTCCCAATGGCAAGCCCACATCCTTGTGAAGAGACTACACTGGGCTACCTAACAGACCCCCTTAAACAGTGTGCATCATTTGATTAAGACAGCTGACTTGGACTCCACACTTAGCAAAGAAACTTCTGATTGTAATTTGTTACCCCATAAATCAGCTTAAAGAAAAGAATGTGCTGGTTATGTATTGCAATTATTTCAGTCCATGTGAAAGTAATATATCTCATTGTAAATGAAGAGATTGGCATTATGATTTTATATGTCAGGCTTTCAAGTTTGTTTGATTTGAGTCTTGTCACCAGAAAACAGAATTGTCCTCTGTTGTTGACAAAATCAGTTTTTATTGCCTCCATGGCTGACAGCAAGACTTGGACCCTGTTTTATTCATAGTGGCTGTGAACCACCTTGGAAGACATGTAGCCAATCTCTTTACCGTTGGCTGCACTGCTTTCCTTTAGTGAAATATCTGTAAAGACAAAGATTGAGGTGTTATTGAAGAAAAGGATATTTATGATAGAAGAATAGAAGGAGTAATATAAGAAGCTAATGGAAGAACTTCTGGAATTTAAACATATGCTATGAAGCTATGTTAATTATATGAAATAATGCAGGTAAAAGCCATTTTAAAACTGTAAAGTGAGAGCTCCAGAGTCAAAGTCTGTTCCCGCCCAGTCCTGTCCTGCAGTTGCCTGCCTCCTCTTTCCTTTCAACAATGACAGATGCTGATGTGTCCTTCGTCAAGGACTTTCTGGCAGGTGGAGTGGACACCACCATCTCCAAGACTGCAACAGCAACCATTGAGTGGGTAAAGCTGCCGCTGCTGGTGTGCAGGGGGCCAGCTCCTGCAGAGAGATTTAGGGTGTCCCTGGAAGGTGTGGCGGCGTTGGCGATTATTCTGGAGAAATAAAGAGAAAGAAAGAGAGAGACAGGGGTAGAAAGAAAGAGATTGGACTCTGTCAAGAAGCTGATGCTGTAGGAGGGATAGATATTAAAAGAAAGATGGAGGGATAGATAGAAAGAAAGAAAGACATAAAATGGACAACTGTTCAATGGATTGAGCAGAAGCCGTTTATTGGAAGTTACAGCGGGTATTTATCTCCAAATTTTACACAGACAGTCTCACAAGTCTTTCATGTGAACACAAGGCCAGGTGCAAGAGGGGCATCCCCCACCCACCAGGTGTTTCCTCAGGCATGAGGAAGAACAATCCCAATTAAATCACTAAACTTTTATGTGAACACAAAGCCAGGTGAATGAGGGGCATCCCTCACCCACCAGGTGTTTCCTCAAGTATGAGGAAGGGCAATCCCAATTAAATCACAAGACATTTACATGAACATAGAGCCAGGTGGATGAGGGGCGTCCCCCACCTACCAGGTGTTTCCCCTAGGAAGGAGGATCCCCAAACTATCTCACTGTTCCTCATGCTTGGTTAATATTCCTCAAAAGCAATATAACAATTCTAATATCATAATATTCTAATAGTCAATAACTTTTAAAACTTATGCATACACAACACCTAATGACCAACTTAAATCCTCATTCCTTTCTATTTTACGCTAATTCTACCTACACTATAGAAACTCTTAATTATAGCCCAAACCAGTTCCTAAGGAACGTGGCCCAGTCAAAACATCACGCTGGGCCATTTCTGGGAACAAATTGATTACAATCTCTTAACAAAATGGCTGTTCTAAAATCCTATATATCTATTTTAACTTTTATAAAATTTTCTAATTTCTAATCCCAATATATAAAGCTGATCATCAGCAATAAAACCTCCAAAAATAAAACCCAAATATAAACTGCATATTGTACTAAGCCCAAACCACAATAGTAGAAAATGGGAACAATGAAATTTCTAGAGTTAGCTGTATTCCCATTAAACCTCAAAATATCATGATTGATCATGCTTGAACTAACATAATTCCCTGACATTAGCATGACCTATTCTACAATACTTTCTATGAATAAAATAAATTCAATTTCTATAATAAGTAGAAAAACCCTATACTAACTGTAGTTAAAACCAGTTTAAAAGAATGCAGCCCAGTACAAAGTATGTGCTGGGCCCTTAGGAATGTGGCCCAGCCCAAAGTTCGTGCTGGGCCACTTCTGGTAACTCTAGATAATTATCTATATTATTAAGGTTGAAACAGCACTTTATATACTAATTCTACAAATATACTTTTAAATCTTAAAAGAATCTTGTACCATATTAAAGGCTCCCAAATGTGACCTGAGTTTGAATTATGTTAAAGTTTAAAGTCAAAACCGCAGTCTGTGAGAAACGGGAACAATGGATTCCTAAAGTAAGCCATGCCTGTCGTACTCTCAGAACTTCATGCTTAGATCATCAAAGTCCCTGCTAGTGGGATGTGCCAAACAGCAAGGAAGGGAAGAGGGAATGGGCCATCAGCTCCTAACTCATCCTAGTGGTCTCAGGGTCCGCAGGCTTCCTGGATCTCTAATGCTCAGGCGGGCCTCCACGGCCAGCTCCCAACACAGGTACAGGATGCCAGTAAGCAAATCACTGCAGATAAACAGTACAAGGGCATTATACACTGCACATTTCGTATCCCCAAGGAGTAGGAGTCCTGACCTTCTGGCGTGGTAACATGACTGATGTCATCAGATACTTCCCCACCCAGGCTCTCAACTTTGCCTTCAAAGATAAATACAAGCAGATCTTCCTGGGTGATGTGGACAAGAGCACCCAGTTTGGGTGCTACTTTGCAGGGAATCTGGCGTAAGACGGTGCCTCTGGGACCACATCCTTGTGTTTTGTGTACCCTTTTGGGTTTGCCAGTACCCATCTAGCAGCTGATGTGGGTAAAGCAGGTGCTGAGAGGGAATTCAGAGCCCTTGGTGACTGCCTGGTTGATGCGATTAAGGGCCTGTACCAAGGCTTTAACGTGTCTGTGCAGGGCATGATCCTCTACCAAAGCTGCCTACGTTGGTATCTATGACACTGCAAAAAGAATGCTTCCAAATCCCAAGAATACTCACATCATCATCAGCTGGATGATCGTGCAGTCATCACAGCCATTGCTGGGTTGACTTCCTATCCATTTGACACTGTTCGCCACCGCATGATGATGGCGTCAGGCTGCAAAAGAACTCATATCACTACACAGGCACGCTTGATGGCTGGAGGAAGATTGCTCCTGATGAAGGAAGCAAAGCTTTTTTCAAGGTTGCATGGCCCAGTGTTCTCAGAGGCCTGGGTGGTATGCTCATCTTGTGCCATGAAATCAAGAAGTACACATAAGTTATTTCCTGGTTTTCCCCCATGACTAGGTACGTTGTATTATGTAACATAGCTTGAGCATTCTTGACAGACTCGTGACTGTCTATTTATTGGTTGAAAATGGAAAGCATAATATTCATTTGACCAGTTTTCTCTTAAAGCCATTTCCATGATGAAGATGATGGGACTCAAACGTAATTTTTATTTCGGTACCGATACATAACAAATTTGAAGAAATAAAAAAGATTTAAAAAACTATAAAGCATTATGTAACTCTTTGCTGCCATTAATTAGTGATACATTTAAAGTAGTCAAATTAGTAACATCATAATATATTTTAACAGCTTTTATATTGACCATGGTAATAGCTTAATAGTGACAAAAAAAAGCAAATATTTGTTGTGCTCATGCTGTGTCAAACACTGCTTGAGTGCTTTAATTCATTTAATATACAGTGAACCAGTGAGGCAGGTACTATTGTTAGCTTTAGTTTATAAATGGGGAAGTGAAGCCCAGAGAGTTAACTTGCCCAAGATCATACTCCTGAAGTTGTAGATCGAGGATCTGAACCCAGGCTGTCAGGCTCCAGAGCCAGTGCTCTTGAGCACTAAGTGAAATGATGCAGTATTTACTAATATAATAGAAGAGAATGTTAAAACAAAATCCACAATATTGTACTCAGAAAAAATTGTTGAATGAAGGATAATTAGTTGAGGTTAGATTTCTCTATTAATCATGTCTTGATATTTTGCCAATAGGAATAACAAGAGGCGCAGATGAAATGATCATATCAGCTATATGTGTATGATTTAAACTCCTTTTTTTGTATTTGACATTTTTATTTTAGGCTGCAAAAACAAAAACAAGCACACAAACAACAACAAAAGACTTAAAATAGGCTTGTCAAATGAAGTAAATTCAATCTTTCCAGGGAAGAAGAAGGTAGACCCTATCACAAAAATGTTTAGTTAATGGAGGTGAAGTTTAAAAGTACAGTTATAAATAATAGACTAACTTCTGAAAATCCTAGGTTTTAGTCACCTCCCTGTGGTATCAATAATTGTATTATGAGTTAATTTTCTTTGTAGTTTACTATGCTATCTAAAACACAAAAATCAATTACACAACAATCACAGTAATCGGGTGAGGTCTTACTGGAAATTTTTAACCATATAGTTGTCTCACCAATTTTTTTTAACATGATAAATTGCCTTAGTTTAAATCACTGCATTTCTGTAACAGAGTAATGAAAGGCACAGCCAATACAAGTGGACTTAACCCCATTCAACAACCAGCTAAAAAAAAATACTTTGGTTCTTTCAGTAAAAAAAAAAAATCAGAAAAAAAATGTGTTTCATCTAACAGATGTCAATTTTCATAACTATACTCCAATGGCTACATAATGAAAATATATTCCAGAAGAATCAAACTCTGTAGCAATGAATGAACATGCACAAGAATTTGTGCATTCAACATATCTGGCAGAAAAACTATAGTTAAAATGCAAGGTAGAACAAATTGGTCTGTAAAATATCAGTTCCTTTCCTTTAAAAAAAATGACTGAGTCTACCAAGAAAATGCAAAACCATAAGGTTGTCAGTAAATAACAGTTGTGTGTAGGCTGTTATAGTGCAGATTATCCTCAAGGTCACATATATCCTGCTTCATTGGGTTTGTACTCTGCTAGGTTTTGGGTTAGAGTCTGGATCATTTTCCTCATCTTCTTCTTCTTCCCCTTCCTCATCCACTTCTTCGACTTCTTCATCATCATCATCATCATGGTCTTCAATAGCTTCTCCAGGAAACTATAAACTGATCTTGGGATTATACGCCCATGTAAAAAGTGACCAACTTCAAAATCTGTGGCCAAGATAGCTTCAGCATCACTATCCAGATCTCTACTCTCAGGAACTTCAGAAGGGGCAAAAAAATTAAAGAGTATTAGAAACTGTTTTAGTCACAATATGAACTGTCCTATTTCCTTGTGTTTCTGCTTCTTCTTAATGATTTTCAAAGTGACATTCTTTCCTTTTTTCCAATCTATCTGGCATCCTGTACAATGCATAATTTCTGGTTCATTGGAAGAAAAGGGATCAGAATCATTTGGTTCTGACCTCATCCTGTATGTCTTTGTCAACACTTCATTGGTGAAGTAGTCATTGGATTTAAAGTGAGGTTCTAAGACAAAACTCAAAGGCTAGCCAGCATCTGAGAACTTCACTTTAATGTCTTTCAAGTGCTTCAGAATAGGTTCATTATGTTCCTGAACCGTATCACTGAGTAAGTCAATATTCTTAAAAACAGTCATTGAAATTCAGGAATTCCTTTGGGGTCTCCTTTTTCTTCATCTTTTTTTTCTCTCCTCTTCAACCTGGGACTTTTCTTTCAGCTCCTCTGAAATTTTATCTTCTTCATCTGGTTTCCATTCATTCTTCTTCTGTAGGATCATAAATTGCATTAATAATCTCAAATGGCTCATCAAATAGAGGCTGATAGATAACAACATACTTCCTTTCAAGATCATGAACTTCTTCTTAGAATTTGGCTTCTATCTGTGTACATTTAACTTGAAGGTTTTTGAGAGCATTTACTCGTCTTTTAACTATCCTAGGCAAACTTTCAATGTATCCTGTTGGTATTTTTACCAGACCATCATGTCTTTCTTGAAGGGCTGCAAGAATCTGAGGATTTTGCATCATCTGGACAGTCAGTTAACACACTTTGACTTTTGTTTCTTCACCAGTTGTTTCTTCTTCAACATCATCAAAATCTTGATCAATTTCATACTGTTCTTTGTTGTCAGTGTCTGCCATGTTGTCAGAACTCCGAATATCGGCATCTAGCATGGGAGCCAGGCGTCTGGAGCTGCAGAGGCAGACTCAGGCAGCAGTGTCGTCGGGAGGAGAGGGAGGCCGTGCCTAAAAGCTTTTTAAAAGAACGCCATTGCATTACATAGTGTTATTTTAGATAGGTAATGTAATAAAGTGGTTAAAGACACAGGTTTTACAATCTAACTGCTTTAATTTATATTCTTGTTTTCCTGCTTACTTACCAGCTGTGTGATCCTGGGCAGCTAATTTAATTTGTTACCTGTCATCTGTAAAATGGGGATAATAATAGTATCTACTCAAAGAGTTGCTAAATTAATTTTCTTACTTTTTTTTTTTTTTTTTGAGTTGGAGTCTCACTCTGTCACCCAGGCGGGAGGGCAGTGGCACACTCCTGGCTACTGCATCCTTGACCTGTTGGGCTCAGGCGATCCTTCTACTTCAGCCTTCTAAGTAGCTGGAACTACAGGCACATGCCACCATGCCCAGCTAATTTTTAAAAAAAATTTATTGTAGAGATGAGGTCTCGCCAAGTTGCCCAGGCTGGTCTCGAATTCACAGGCTCAGGCAATCTTCTCACCTCGGCCTCCCAAAGCGCTGGGATTATAGGCGTGAGCCACTGTGCCCAGCCATGTGCTAAATTAATTTTCAAGTAAAGGACACAGAATCTCACATATAGTAAGCACTGAAAAGGTCTAAGCTATTATCATTATTGTTTTCAAAATCTAGATAGAAACAGCTGCCATCATTCCATCAGCCACCTAAAGGATGGGCTGCACTTGACATAGTCACCACTGCTTTGTATAGTATACATAGAGTAACGAGGCCTAAGTGAAGAGCCTGCTCAAGGTCACACAAGAATTTGCCAAGGTCCTGTTCACACCCAATGTCATCTGGGGACATATAGCCATTAATCTAGTCAATTTTCCCCTCTTTCTCTTGACTTTTATTTCCAAGTATACAGGAGAGTCAGTAAGTTTTGTCATTCATTTAGAGTATATTTAAGAGGAGAAGATGTGCAAGTTTTGCCCTCAATTGAGCCGCACACTTTCATTCTTTGAAATAACTGATTTAAAAGACATCAGTTTCACTTTCCTCCTAGATTAAAAAAACAAACAAAAACCATGCCCGCTTCTTTTGCTCAGATTCACATTTCCACTTGATCTTTTTTTTTGTAGTTTGACTTTTATATTTCTGAAACAACTGTTCCGTGTTTTGCTGAGGTAAAGAAGACAGTGTTTTTAAGATTAAAAAAGGGAGGGAGCGGGAGAAAAAGAAGCCCTGTTCCACATTTGTCCTCAGTTGCGTTGGCAACTGAGAGACAGAAAATCTCTCAGAAAGCAGATTCTAACTCTTGCCTGAAACATTTAAGAAAGTTAGGTATGTTTCTTTGAATCCAAAGTAATCTTTAATGTTTAATATTTTTAATTATTTATTTACTAATTTTAAAATGTTTAATATTTTTATATAATAATTTTTCCAGACCAGGCTATGTCTCTGGCTGACCAACCTAAAGAAAACAATTTGACTAAAGTGTAAATAAAGTAAAAATGATCAGAGATAATCAAGAGTAATGGTACTGAGATCTTAATATTTTAAAACCTAATGGACTAAAAATGCCCCCTTAGAATCCATATGGTGAACTTCATGACATCAGCTTCATGATTCTACTTACAGTCATGGGATGGGTATTCATATTATCCCTGTTTTACATATGGGAAGACTGAGGTGGAGAAAACCAAAATTTGGGGTCAAAGTATTATCAGTGGTAGTTTTGGTGGTTGATTTGGGTTGTTCAAGTTTAGTTTTGTTTTACTTTGGATGAGTTCTGCAAATTGTAGTTAGTTTTGAGTCACTGAACATGGCCTCTTGTCTCATCTTTTTTTTTTCAAGCCAAAGTGTATCCAGCTTTATTAAAGATATTTTTCATAAACAATCATGGTATTTCAGGCAGGACATGGGCAGACAATCGTTAACAATATACAATTGCTTTCAAACTCCCTTCTTTAATGAACTACCAAAATCAGAAAGCCACTATAAAAACCCAATGACGTCTTCATTTGATGCTCTGAACAGGGAAAGTTTAGAGTGAGGGTTGATATTTCACATTTAGCATGTTGTTTGACAACTTTTCACAAGCCAACCCTGACTTTCAGGAAGTGAAATGAAAATGGCAGAATTTGTCTGAAGATCCACAATCTATAAATGGAACTGCTGCTCTTATGACGGGTGCCATCTCAGTGGCATCACTGATATAGTGATAACCAATTATTGGGGGTCAGGTCCCAACAGATGTCTGGGTTTAAGGGACTTAAGTCTATGCTGAAGGCAGAAAGGGAGAAGAGGACATAAAAAACAACTTTGTTTTTCCACACTACAAGGCGTTTGTACCAAGGTGGTTATGTGTATTAACGTCGGGGAACATCTCCTCCTGGAAGCCAAGAGGAAGTCTCATAAAACTATAAGGGAAAGGTGTTTTCTCCACATCAATCCAGCTTTGGAGACATTCTGTTGGTGACATGTGGGGAGCCAGCCCCTGCAGAGAGATTTAGGGGGTCCCTGGGAGGTGTGGCAGCGTCGGCGATTATTCTGGAGAAATAAAGAGAAAGAAAGAGAAGGGAGGAGAAAGAAAGAGACTGGACTCTGTCTAGTGCAGAAGCCAATTTAATGGGGCAAACCGTAAGCCTTTTATCCTAAAGTTTCACAGGCAAGATCACAAGATTTTCACGTGAACACAAAGCCAGGTGGATGAGGGGCATCCCCCCACCCACCAGGTGTTTCCTCAAGCATGAGGAAGGACAATCCCAATATTATTTCACTGTTCCTTATGCTTGGTTAATGTTCCTCACAAACAATACAACAGTTCTAACATCATAATATTCTAATAATCAATAACTTCTAAAACTTAAGCATACCCAACACCTAATGACTGACTTAAATCCTAATACCTTTCTATTCTGTGCTAATTTTACCTGTACTATAAAAAACTCTTAATTATAGCTCAGACCAGTTCCTAAAGAATGTGGCCCAGTCCAAAGATCATGATGGGCCATTTCCAGGAACAATTGATTATAATCTCTTAACAAAATGGCTATTCTAAAATCCTATGTATCTATCTTAATTTCTATAAAAGTTTCTAATTCCTAATCCTAATATATAAAGCTGATCATCAGCAATAAAGCTTCTAAAATAAACCCAAATACAAACTGTAATTGTACTAAAGCCAAAACCGCAATTAGTAGAAAATGGGAACAATGGAATTTTTAAAGTTAACTGTATTCTTATAAAACCTCAAAATATCATGTTTGATCATGCTTGAACTAACATAATTCCCTGACGTAGCATGACCTATTCTACAATACTTTCTATGAATAAAATAAATTCAGCTTCTATAATAACTAGAAAAAATCTACACTAATTGTAGCTAAAGAACCAGTTTAAAAGAATGCAGCCCAGCCCAAAGTGGACGCTAGGCCCTTAGGAATGTGGCCCAGTCCAAAGTTCATGCTGGGCTATTTCTGGTAACTCTAGATAATCATCTATACCATCTAAAGCTGGAAACAGCTCTCTAAATTCTCTCTAATTCTACAAATATACTTTTAAATCTTATAAAGAAGCTTGTACCATATAAAAGGCTCCCAAATGTGACCCGAGTCTGAGCTGTGTTAAGTTTAAAGCCGAAACTGCAGTCTGTGAGAAACGGGAACAATGGATCCCTAGAGTCAGCCATGCCTGTCATATTCTCAGAACTTCATGCTTAGATCATCAAAGTCCCTGCTAGTGGGTCATGCTAAACAACAAATAAGGGAGAAGGGAATGGGCTTTCAGCTCCTGAACTCAACCTGGTGGTCTCAGGGTCTGCAGCCTGCCTGGATCCCTAATGCTCAGGCAGGCCTCCACAGCTGGCTCCCAACAGTGACATATGCCCCTTTCCCAAAAAACAACAATGAAGTGTTCTGTGCACTAACAACAAAGCTTAAAAAAAATTTCTGCATTTTTATAAAATGATAAAAAATAGTATTTCAAACTGTACAATCACCAGAAGCACATAGTTATTAAAAATGCACACACTTCACTTGGCATCTCCAGCACCCTCAGCTTTCTGTGCCTGGCTATTTGCATCTCCATTTTCTGCAGGGTTATTCCCCTCCTTGCCAGCATCGGCTTTTCCCTTTTTCCCTCTGGGTACCTTCTCTCCCTTCCTAGCTGGAGCCTTCTTAAGTTTGGGCTCTGGCTTTGGAGAAAAAGGTTCAGCAGACAACCTTGAAGATCTTCTCTGGGGTTCATCCTTCACCTTGGCTTTATCTCCTTTAGCATCCCCTTCAGCCTTTCTCTTGGGCATGGTGGTCATGGCAGCAGAACTAAGGCATTGGACGCAGGGATGGAGCAGCGCCCGGGCTTTGGTTGGTCCGGGTGATTCTTGCCTCTTCTTCTTCACACTGCTCGGACTCTAGGGGGTTTATAAAGTTTTTATCATCTCATCTTTATTCTTAGGTATCACAGATGTGCCATAATAATGTCCTAGTTGGAACAGTGAAGAGAACTTGATATGCCAGTGACCCGGGTACCAGTGCATTCTAAGCAATGCTTCAAGGTTCTGTATAGAAAATCTTATCTGCTTCTGTTGACTAAGAATTTATTATGTATCAGATTACAGTTTAAACAGTAGCTGAAAAGCACCTGAGAGTTAATGAACGCACTGTCGGATGTTTGAAGTATGGGGTTGAACATTTTCTTGGTAAATGATAAATGGAGTGGCTATTTGAGCTATACCATTAATCTCTATTTTTTTATTCTGATGTATTTAGATAAACCCTAAATACAAAATGAGAAAATCTTGACAACGTTAGGAGAAGATCTCATGTAATTAAAGCCAGCTAGTTGTAATTTGCACCTTTGTTAAATCATAACATATAGATGTTTCCAAGAGTTGCTGTACAGTGCAGATACATTTGAATTTTAAGCCTTTCTCAGGCATCTTTGGTTTTGTTAAATTTTTCACTGTGCTGTAGGATGTTGAGAGATTAAACCCGAAACTTGTTTGCATTGTCACTTTGTTTTTCTTGTACTGCTACTTAAAACTTCCTTTTCGTCATATAAAAACAAAACAAAACAAAAAACCAAAACAACAGCCAGGCTCGGTGGCTCAGCCTATAATCCCAGCACTTTGGGAGGCCGAGGTGAGTGGATTGCCTGAGCCTGCGAGTTCGAGATCAGCCTGGGCAACTTGGCAAGACTTCATCTCTACAATAAAATAAAAAATAGCTGGGTGTGGTAGCGCGTGCCTGTAGTTCTGGCTACTTGGAAGGCTGAGGCAGAAGGATCGCCTGAGCCCAGCAGATGGAGTCTGTGGTGGCTGGGAGCGTGCCACTGCACTTCAATCTGGGCGACAGAGTGAGACTTCAACTCAAAAATACCCCAAAACAAACAAAAAAACCAAAACAACCCCCCTCATTGGGATGGTTTTAAAATGCTTGCAGTTGTATCACTTTTATTTAGCAAAATGATTATCTGATAGTAATATGTACTGATGAAGAATGAAAAATTTTATTAAAAAGCTGTTAGAGATTTGGATTGGTTCATCTAGAAAAGAGTCTAGGCTGCTGTCTGATTATTGTTTTTTGGGAGTTTCTTTCATAGTTATCCCCTTGACTCTCATTAGGAATGCACAATTTGCAAGACTCAGTGACCAAGGTGAAGGTGATATGAGGAGTTCACTTATTTAAGAAGTAGGGATTATTATCCTTATTTGACAAATGAGAAAACCGAGGCTGAGAACTGAAGTGCCTTGCCAAGATCACATTAACTGTAGTAAGACTACAGTCCAAATTCCAAGCCAGGATGGTCTGGCTCTGATGCCTGAACTCTCAGCCCCAGTCCTACATGGACTCTGTGCCCTGTGGCTGACCAGCTCGGCCAGGCAAGTGTAACCCAGCAGCCCATGGAAAGGCCGGACTGTCTGGCTTACAGATCACCACTGTTGGGTCTTGCTCTCGGAAGACGAGGTGGGCAGAGCTGAGATTGGTGTGTCCTCCTAGGTCTGAAGAGTTCAGGAAAGAGAAGCTACCTGGGGGTGTTGGATAAGGACTGAATCTTTGGCTGTAGGGGAGGGAGGGACAGAGGGAAGGGGGCCTAGGATAATAAGACATAGCAGGGAAGAGCTGGGTGAGGCTGAGGTGCAAGGGGAAGGAGAGGCCTCTGGGGAAGGGGAAATGAGAGCAATCTGGACCTGTTGCTGACTGTGGTGGATTAAACAGCCACAAATTCTTAGCTCCCAAGGCCTCTGGGCATTTGCAGGCTGCAGAATGCACCAGGGCAAGCCTCATTGAGTCTAGGCTCCTTAGGGAGCGAGGGGCCTGCCAAACTCTGGGCAGAAGGTGAGAGAAAGGGAGGGATGCAAGGTGTCACTGGGAGTTTCTCAGATGGGCTGTGGTAACTGTCCTATGGTTCAATTATAACCCATTTGCTAGCTCTGCCCTCCAAACAGTCCAGGTCCCTGTTGTACCCGTTCTTTCTGCCTTGTCTTCCCCTGCCTCCTCCCAACCCCCATCCCAGAGTTCACCATCTATCCCACCTGCCCATGCAGGGTGGCTGCAAGCACTTAGAACAGACAGAAGAAACATGCTGGTCACAGGGGTCCTGGCATGTAGGGTCAGTTGGCATGTAGGTAGGTGTAGCTCTTCTTAGGGTGGAATCTGGTCTTAGATCCTGGAGGCCACCCTATAGCTTCCTTCCCTATCTCCCTCCTGCCTTGGGATGAACTCTGCCGTCAGTGGTCCTGACAGCGGGGTGAGGCTTGCCTCAGCCTGACTCACTTTTGTAGCAGAACGTTTTTCATTAGGTTAAAATACTTTGTACTCCAATATCCCAGTCCAAAGACCTGGCTATATTTACATGAACTGACACTCTGAACTGAAGCATGGAAGGGAGGGAGATGGAAGGGACAGGGACAGGAATGGAAACAACCTCTGGAAATTTTCCACTTCCAGAAGACACTGGTAAGTCCAGGTAGACTTATTAGCAACCAGCACTTTGAGCGCCACCTTCTGGTTGCCAGGCTGTACTGGATGAAGGATCCCCCTGCTTCCCTCCAAAGCCTTGGAAAAGGGAGAGAGGCAAAACCCAAACCGGCAAACTGTGGAAACCCCAGGACTGGCCTAACAACTTTGAAACACATCCTCTCTCTAGCCTGCTAAGAGGCTCAGGGTCTGGGGATAAAATCAGGGTGGGCAGAAGGGTCTGTATTTCTCCGCTAGTTGTGAGTGGGCTAGGGACTCTCACCAAGTTGATTGCAATGCTGGAGCAAAATGGCAACACTAGCAACATGTACTTTTATTTTATGAATTCTAGTGTTTTATAAAAATACTTAATTGCTTAAAAATGAGTGACTAAATAGACAATTTAAATCCCAGAAGGAAGAATGGATTCCCTGAAGAGTATAGAGGCTCCCACTTCCTAGGGTCTTCCTAGTGTAGGATCTGGGTGGAGTGTGATGTGGTGGTGAAGATCACAGGCTCTAGACCTGCACTGCCTGGGTCCAAATCCAGGATCCTGCATTTAGCATCTGTATGTCCCTGGATAAGAGTCTAGTTGGTCCTAGACATCCTTGCCTATTGGTTGGACTGATTAGACAGCTATGAGAAATAAGAGCAATAGATATCTAGTCAATGCATGGAAGTGTGAATGGATTAGAGATGCTCCCTTGGGAGATAAGAGCAGTACAAATCCAATTATATGCTCATTCGTTAACAAATTTGTATGGAGGGTCTACTATTTACTGTGTTTGTCATCGGGAAGTGAAGGTGAATTAAGACAGTCTCTGCTATCATCAAGGAACTCACGATGGAATAGATGCCATCCTAATATACCAAAGTCAGACAAGTCAATCAAAAAATATTTGATGAGCATTTACCTTGATATATGCAAACACTTTAGTAGAAGCTTTGGATGACAAAGGTTTATAAGAGTTTGTCCTAAGGCACCAAAAGACATCTAATCCTCATTAATGACTTTAAGGTATTCCTGAAAACCTGGTTGCTAAATGAAAAAATGACCAGTACTGCCAGGCACGGGGGCTCATGCCTGTAATCCCAACACTTTGGGAAGTGGAAGTGAGAGGATTGCCTAAGCCCATGGGTTCGAGACCAGCCTGGGTAGTATGGCGAGATCTCACCTCTACAATAAATAAAAAAATTAGCTGCGTGTGGTGGCGCATGCCTGTAGTTCCAGCTACTTGAAAGACTGAAGTGGAAGGATCGCCTGAGCCCAGCAGGTCGAGGCTGCAGTGGCTGTGAGCATGCTACTGCACTGCACTCTAGCCTGGGTGACAGAGTGAGACTCCTATTTAAAAAAAAAAAAATTCTTAGTACTTTTAATTGTAAAAATTAGGATGTATTTTTATCTCATTCCAAGACACTCAAATATTTTTCACAAATAGAAAAACGTATTGGCCAAACAATGGGAACAAGTCTATATAAACAATAAATAAGAGATTGAAAGCAAATAGCTACCGTTTGCATATAAAATGAAATGTAACAAGGCCAAAGAAGGAAGAGAAGACTTGGATAGTCTTATGGGAGAGATGCTGAATTTGATGAACTTCCAGGCAGACATTCAATGTCACATGGTGATTTTCTATTCCTTGAGACTTTGACAAAATAAAGACTAAATGTGACAATGCTTCAAAACATGTAAAAATGACATTCACATATAACAGTTTGAAGATTTGTAGAAAATGCTGCCTCCTCATTCCTCTGTCTTAGACTTGGACTGCTAAGTTCATGTGGACATGGCGCACAATTTATTTGCGCGAATTTCTCTATATAGTGTTCTTCTTTTGTTTTGTTTTTTTTTTGAGTTGGAGTCTCACTGTCGCCCAGACTGGAGTGTAGTGGCCGCTCCCGGCCACCGCAGCCTCGACCTGCTGGGCTCCGGCGATCCTTCCGCCTCAGCCTTCCAAGTAGCTGGAACTACAGGCGCACGCTACCACGCCCGGCTAATTTTTTTCATTTATTG